TCTGTAGATTAGTATGATGTCTGTGATTGGTTGCAAAAACACCTAATAAGGCCTAATTGAGGCCATTTGGGTTCATTTGGGGTCACTTTGGGTCCTTTGGGTCATTTTGATTCCTCTGGGTGGACTTTTTGTCCATCTCAGGTCAATTTGGCTCCATCTGAGGTCACTTTGGTCCATCTGAGGTCACTTTGGGTTGACTTTGGTCCATCTTAGGTCACTTAGGTCCACCTCAGGTCACTTTGGCTCCATTTTGATCACTTTGGTCCATCACTTTGGCTCCATCTCAGGTCACTTTGGTTCATCTGACGTCACTTTGGTCCATCTAAGGTCACTTTGGGTCCATTTTGGTTCCTTTGGGTTGACTTTGGTCCATCCAAGGTCACTTTGGGTCCATCAGAGGTCACTTTGGCCCTTTGAGTTCACTTTGTGTCCATCTAAGGTCGCTTTGGTCCATCCAAGGTCACTTTGACCCTTTGGATTGACTTTGGCTCCATGTGAGGTAACTTTGGGTCTATTTTGGTCACCTTGGTCCATCTGAGGTCACTTTGGCCCATCTCAGGTCACTTTGGTCCATCTAAGGTCACTTTGGTCCATCTGAGGTTCCTTTGGTCCCTTTGGGTGGACTTTTTGTCCATCTCAGGTCATTTTGCTCCATCTAAGGTCACTTTGGTTCCATTTTGGTCACTTTTTGTCCATCTCAGCTTACCTTGACCCTTTGGGATAGAATTTTGGGGACAACTGGAGAACTTTTCTTTGATCCTTTGGAGAAGACTTTTTTGGTGGGTCTTTTTTTGGGTCCATTTCTTGGAGGTTCCTCAAGCAAAGTAACCCCAGAGGAAAACAGCCACAGCCATGAGGACCAAGGCGTTGATGTCCACCACTCTCCTCCAGACCAGGTCCTCCTGGGGGAGGGATGGGGGGGTGGACACGCCCCCTGGGCCACCAGGCTCCACCCCCTGAGCAGATGGATCCACCTCCACATCTGGAAGAGGGAGGAGAAGGAGGAGGAGAAAGTTATGGAGGTCACCATGGGGTTGGGGGAGAGAACTTGAGCTCCGGAACATCTGGTTGGACCCAAAGATCTGAGAATTTCCATATTTGGGTCTTCAGAGATCTTGGAGCTCCAAGTTGAGGTTCCTCAAGGTCATCTGGACCTCTAAGAACTCCAACTTTGGGTCCTCCAGACATCTTGGAGCTCCCAGTTGAGGTTCCTCAAGGTCACCTGGACCTCTAGGAGTTCCAACTTTGGGTCCTCCAGACATCTTGGCCTCTAGGAGCTCAACATTGGGTCTTCCAGACAGCTTGGACCTCTAGGAGCTCCAACTTTGGGTCCTCCAGACATCTTGGACCTCTAGGACCTCCAACTTCGGGTCCTGCAGACATCTTGGACCTTGCAGTTGAAGTTCCTCAAGGTCACCTGGACCTCTAGGACCTCCACCTTTGGGCCCTCCAGACATCTTGGAGCTCCCGGTTGAGGTTCCTCAAGGTCAGCTGGACCTCGAGGACCTCCAACTTTGGGTCCTCCAGACATCTTGGACCTCCCAGTTGAGGTTCCTTAAGGTCACCTGGACCTCAAGGACCTCCAACTTTGGGTCCTCCAGACATCTTGGACCTTGCAGTTGAAGTTCCTCAAGGTCGCCTGGACCTCTAGGACCTCCAGGACCTCCAACTTTGGGTCCTTCAGACCTCTGACACCCCAAACATGGAGGTCCTGCTCACCCTGGAGTTGGATGTCTCCTATTCCAGCTTTGGGACTGTCCAGGTCAATCCTTGGCTCTTGACTATTCCGGAGACTATAGACCAACCTGTGGAGCTGGAGATGAACAGATGAAGGTCCACCAGGTCAACTGGAGGTCCCTCAAAACTTTTGGGTCCTCCTCTGGGGTCGTGGAGAACCTCAAATCCCATCTTGGAGCCAGCAAAACCACCTGGAACCCTCTGAGATCTTTCTATTGTCATGGCTTGGGTTGACCTGATCTCCAACTCACCTGGGACCACCTTGAGACCCTCTTGGCCACCCCAAACCCTCTGAGAACTTCCAAGCTCCTTGGACCTGCCTCCACTTGAGGTCCCTCGAGGTTCTCTGACCACTTGGGACCTCCCAAACTCTCTGGGACCTCTCAAACCCTCTGGGACCTCTCCCAGGGTCTCTCTCCTGCCATGGCTTGGGTAGACCTGAACTCCAACTCAACTGGAGATTCTTCTGGTCAACTGGGACCACCAAAAACCTCCTGGACCCACCAAGTTGGGGTTCCTCAAGGTTCTCTGGCCACCTGGGACCTCCCACACCCCATGGGAGCTCCCAAACCCCATGGGACCTCCCCCAAGGTCTCTCTACTGTCATGACTTGGGTAAACCTGATCTCCAACTCATCTAGGACCACCTTGAGACCCTCTTGGCCACCCCAAACCCTCTGAGAAGGTCCAAACTCACGTGGTGGCGTGGGATGGGTGGATAGCAGAGGGACACAGCCACGATGATGATGCTGGTGGCCAGGAAGAGGACAACAGCAAAGTGAAGGTAGTGGAGACCACAAACAAAGGATGGACAACGCCCTGGGACACCACAACTTCCAGTCCCCAAGGCAAATTCCGGGATCAACCTGGCCAAGCCCAAAACCAAACCTGCAATGAGACCCCAAAAGGCTCCCTGGGGTGGGAGGGGGTGGAGAAGGTGGGTTAGGTCCTTTCCTAAGTGGTGGACCTCACAATTCAAGATGGCCTCACTTGGGATGTTCTTCACAACTTGAGCTCTGCTAGATCCTTGGGATCTCCCAATATGGAGGTTCTTCAAGGTGACATGGAGACCTGAGGCTCATCTAGGTCTTCTCAGCTCCACCTGAACCCCCAAAACACCTTGAGGACCTCTCAAGTACTTCACACCTAGGCCCTATGGAGTCCATGGGGAGAGTTGATGTTCTTCACACCTTGGGCTCACCTGGGACACCCCAAGCTGAAGTTCCTCAAGGACCCATGGACACCTGAGGTTCACCTGGATCTTCTCAACCACATCTGAACCCCCAAAACACCTCGAGAACCTCCCGAAAATCAAGGACTTCACACCTAGTCCCTATGGAGTCCATGGGTTGATGTTCTTCACACCTGGAGCTCACCTGGACACTTGGGACCACCCAACTTGAGGTAGGTTCTACCCCTCCCTGTGTCCATCACACCTGTATCTCCTCAATATCTTGGACCTCCCCAGCATCTGGGACCTCCCCAGATGTGTCCTCCACCCCCCCAAGATGACTCACAGGCTCGTTGACCCTTGGGACAAACACAGCCAAGAAGAAGACAGCGGCCACTGGTGGGGCCAAGTAGCTGGCGATGGCCTGGATGTAGTCAAAGAGTTGTCCACCTCGAGCTGCTTCCACCACGGGAAGCCAAGCCAAGCTCAGTCCCACCATGGCCACAATCCACACCCTGGAGGAGAAGACAAACCACCTAAGGTCACCCCAAAACATCTTGGAGGGACCCTAAGATCGTTGAAGGTCACCGAGAAGTTGTGTCCAAAAAGGATCTTGAGATGGGTTGACCTGAGTTGAGGAGGTCAATAAGATATGGGAGAACATCAAGTTGAGGTTCCTCAAGGTTCTTTAGATATTATGGATGTTGTTGGACTTAGGAGTCAAGCCCAAACTCTTGGTGGAGCTCCAAAAATCAAGGACTTCACACCTAGTCCCTATGGAGTCCATGGGGAGAGCTGATGTTCTTCACACCTGGGGAACATCTAGGAGACCCCAAATTGAGGTCCCTCAAAGTGACATGGACACCTGAGGTTCACCTGGGTCTTCTCAGCTCCATGTTAACCCCCAAAACACCTCAAGGACCCTCCAAAAATCAAGGACTTCACACCTAGTCCCTATGGTGGCCATGTTTACAGTTGACGTTCTTCACACCTAGGACCCAAAAGGTTGAGGTCCCTCAACATCCCATGGACACTTGAGTCCCACCTGGGTCCTCTCAACCACATCTGAACCCCAAACCCCCTGAGGGACCCCCAAAAATCAAGGACTTCACACCTAGTCCCTATGGTGGCCATGTTTAGAGTTGATGTTCCTCACACCTGGGACCCCCCAAACTGAGGTCCCTCAAGGTCCTATGGACACCTGAGGTTCATCTGGGTCCTCCCAACCAAGTCTGAAACCCCAAAACCCCTGATGGACCCCCAAAAATCAAGGACTTCACATCTAGTCCCTCTGGCGGCAATGTTTAGAGTTGATGTTCCTCACACCTGGGGCTCACTTAGACCACCCAAATTGGGTTCCCCCGACCTCCCTGTTCCCCCCCCGTGTCCTCTCCATGACCTTCCAGCCATTAGCAGATGTTTTGGTCCTGCTCGAGGTCTCAACCTCTGGTAGACGTCAAGGGTGAAAAGGGCCCCAGAACTGGCAAAGATGGAGGCCAAGGAGGACATGAGAGCAGCAAGGACAACAGCCAACATCAACCCCCTCAGGCCTGGGGGGAGGGAGAGGGGAAAAAAGGGGTTAAAATGGGGGGTAAGAGAGGAGACAATAGGATTAAAAGGCCACTAATGGCATTAATTAGGAGGTGAATGGGATTAATAGGCCCAAAAAATGGCATTAATAGCCCCAATGTGGAACAGTAACAGGACACTAATAGGATTTATAGAGCACTAATAGGACTAATAGGCCACTAACAGCAGTAATTAGCAGGTCAAGAGGAGTAATAGGCCATTAATAGCGTTAATGAGTAGGTGAATGGGCTAAATAGGCCCCAAAAATGGCATTGATAGCCCAAAATCAGAACATTAATAGGTCACTAATAGGATTAATAGGCCACTAATAGGATTAATGGGCCCCAAAATGGCATTAATTGCCCCAAATCCATACATTAATAGGCCACGAATAGGATTAATAGGCCACTAATAGGATTAATAGGCCACTAATAGCATTAATTAGCGGGTCAGTAGGATTAATAGGCCTAAAAATGGCATTGATAGCCCCAAATCAGGATATTAATAGGCCACTAATAGGATTAATAGGTCCAAAAATGCCATTAATAGCCCCAAATCATCATATTAATAGGCCACTAATAGCATTAATAGGCCACTAATACCACTAATAACCCCCCAAACACCATTAATAACAACCCATAAAGAACATTTCTCCTAAGAGCATCTCAAGAAACCCCTAATTACCCCCCAATCACCTAGTATTACCCCTAATAATGTCCAAATCACCACTAATAGCCACTAATAACCCACTAATAACCCCTAATAATGCCCTAATTCCCCCCCCGGGACCCTACCTGGGGGGAGGAGGCCGAGGACGAGTCGAGGATAAGCCACATTGGAACATCCCACGGGAGATCCACAGGCTTGGGAACAGCCCTGAGGGTCAGCACAGCCCACGACCTCTGGGGGAGTGACAGAAGATGGCCGACCAAAATGACTCCCAGCTGGTCTAGGCACCCAATAGAGGCATCCAAGATGGCTGCCAACTGGTCTAGGCTCCCAAGATGGCCGACCAAGATGGGTCCCAACTAGTCTAGCCAAACAAGATGGCCAACCAAGATGGCTCTTAGTTGGTCTAGGCTCCCAAGACGGCCGACTAAGATGGGTCCCAGCTGGTCTAAGCACTCAATATGGGCGTCCAAGATGGGACCCAACTAGACTAGCCAACAAATATGGCTGACCAAGATGGCTGTCAATTGGTCTAGCCATCCAATATGGCAGTCCAAGATGGGTCCCAGCTGGTCTAGCCAAACAATACGCCTGTTCAAGGTGTCTCCCAGCTGGTCTAGCCACACAATAGGGTCGACCAAAATGGCGCCCATCAGGTCTAGCCATCCAATATGGCTGTCAAAGATGGCTCCTAGTTGGTCTCAATATGGCCATTCAAGGTGGCTGCCAGCTGGTCTTGCCACCCAATATTGGCGTCCAAGACGGCGCCCAACTGGTCTAGCCACCCAGTATGGCCATCCAGAATGGCTCACTATGTAATCAGCCAACATGGCTGCCCAATATGGCATGAGCATTCAAGATGGCTGGCCAAGATGGCGACAAACTTAGTGGCC